TACTTAAACTCAGACCCTGGCCTGGTAGAAGAAACTAAGTTACATTCACCCAATGGCAGCCAATGCAGTTACTTAAAGGAATGAGGAACATTTACATGCCGGTATGGAAGGCTCACTAGGAAAAGTTAAATGCAAAAAAGACAAATACAGAAAAATATATATAGTAAGCTACCATTCATCTAAAGGTTACAAAATATGTATATATTTGCTTATGTTAAATAAATATTAGATAAACTTATAAAAAGAAGCTACTTATAAGAAAAGAAACTAGATGCCTCTGACTAAATCTAGTTTTGTAGGTTTGATTTTAGAATTATATAAGTATTTTAATAATGATAAAACAAAAATTTTAAAAATCAATTCTTAAAATCAAAAGCAAAATGTAATGAACTAGCCTAAGTTTCTATCAAGTTGTTGGTGTAGCAATACAGAAAGAATATTTTTAAATGATTAAACATAGTCATTTGACTGTATATCCCTAGTGGGATCCCTAAGAACAAAAGGAATTTTTAAAAAATCAGAAACTGATTTTAATAATCTCACAGTTGTTGGGATGCTGGCACTGGTATACAGAGACTGATGGTGTGTGGATTATGAAATAAAGCAAATGAGTTATGTTGGAGTTTCTTAATGTTTAGCACAGGAAAAAGAAGCTAAAAATGTCAGATTAAAGAGACTAAGTAAAATTTTGTAGTTTTGAATTTGAGTTGGAAGTAGGTTTTTTTCGAGGTGTAGTTCACAGTTTGCAGTCAACCATAACTCTCAAATTTTGGATACTAAATACCATTTCTTGGTTCAAGGAACCAGGGATTCTTGGAGAAAGGGCTGATCCCAGATCTGGGGCAGGAAATGTACAATGTATCAGAAAGCAAAGAAGCTCTCAAAGTCATCTGTCATGTCAAAAGATCTCAGAGGCCAAACTAAAGAGGACCCCACTAGCCAAAGATGAGGCCATCAATAAGGATAACCTCCCTCACTCTTCCTTCCTCCCTTCACCTGACCCCCCTTCCTCTATCCTAGCGATCGCCCTTCTACTTTCATTAGGTCCCGTTTTTGCCTGTTTCCCTCCTTTAGCTTCCACATATAAGAGAAAACATGCATTTTTCCTTTCTTAAACTTGGACTTACTTAAACTCAGACTTTATCTCTGAGTCTGATTTAGTTCAATCAAAATTATGTTCTCCAGTTCTGTCCATTTTCCTACAAGTGACATAATTCTGTGACAGACACCTAGGCTGATTCCATAATTTGGGGCTATTATGAATTGTGCTTTAATAACCATGGGTATGCATGTATTTCTAGAGTATGTTGACATTAGTTCTTCTGGATAAATACTAAGGGGTCATAGAGCTGGATCATGTGGTAGTTCTATTCTTAGCTTTTGGAGGAAACTCCATATTGATTTCCATAGTGGCTGTATTAATTTATATTCCCACCAACAAAGTATAAGAGTTTCTTTTACCTGCCATCCTCCCCAGCATTTATTGTTATTTGTAATTTTGATGCTTTGCCATTCTAACTGAAGTGAGATGAAATTTCAGTGTAGTTTTAGTTTTCATTTCCCTGATGGCTAAAGAAGTGAGCCTTTTTTCATCTAATTGTTGACCATTTATATTTCTTTCTTTTTTAAAAAAAAATATTTTTTAGTTGTCAATGGGCCTTTATTTTATTTACTTATATGCAGTGCTGAGAATCAAACCCAGTGCTTTATACATGCCAGGCAAGCGCTCTATCACTGAGCCACAACCCCAGCTCTGTATTTCTTTTGATGAGTGTCTGTTCAGCTCATTTGCCCATTTATTGATTGGGTTATTTGCTTTTTAAAAAAATTTTGAATTGTTTGAGTTCTTTATATACTCTGGATATTAAAACTCTGTCCAAAGAACAACTGGAAAAGATTTTCCCTCATTCTTTTTTCAAATTTTATATATATATTTAGTTGTTGATGGACCCTTATTTTATTCATTTTTTTATATGCACTGCTGAGAACCAAACTCAATGCCTCATACATGCTAGGCAAGCTCTATACCACTGAGCCCCAATTCCAGCCCCTGAGATTTCCCCGCATTCTGGTAGGTTCTCTCTTTACTCTGCTTTTTCTTTTGTTATGCCATGTAAAAGCATTTATTTATTTATTTGCTTCCTTATTTATTTATTTATACCAGGGATTGAATTCAGGGGCACTGTACTATAGCTATGTCCTCAGCCCTTTTTATTTTGATTTTGAGACAGGATCTTGCTAAGTTGCCCAGGCTGGTCTCAAACGTATGATCTTTCTACCTCCATCTCCCAAATCACTGGGATTTTTATCACCTGCAGAAGCTTTTTAATTTGATGCCATCCATTTGTTGATTCTTTCCCTGATTTCCTGAGATATAGGGGTCCTATTGAGTCAGTGTGTTTTGAAGTGTTTTCCTTGTTTTTTCTTCTAACACCAAAGACCTGGTCTTATACTCAGATCTTTGATCCATTTGAGTTTGCTTTTGTACAGGGTGAGAGATAGGGATCTAGTTTCATTCTTCTACATATGGATATCTGATTTTTCCAGCACCACTTGTCAAAAGGCTGATTTTCTCTATTGTATGTTTTTGGCACCTTTGTCAAGAAATCAGATGACTGTAGCTGTGTGGGTTTGTTCTCTGTGTCTTCTATTCTGTGCCATTAGTCTACATTATCTGTCTATATGCAAGCACCAATCTGTCGTTATTATTGCTCTGTAGTATAATTTCTAATCAGGTATTGTAATGCCTCCAGCAATTGCAAAGTCAACATCATTCTAGATGGGGAAAACTAAAAGTATTTCCTCCAGAATCAGGAATAAGACAAGGATGTCCACTCTCACCACTCCTATTCAATAAGGTACTTGAAATTTTAGCCAGAGTAATTTAGGAAAGAGAAAGAAATAAAGGTGAAACAAATAAGAAAGAAGAAGTCAAATTATCCCTGTTTGAAAATGATATATCCTATAATAACAGTTCCACCAGAAGACTGTAGAGCTAATAAACAAATTTAGCAAAGTAGCCAGATACAAAATCAACTTACAAAAATCAATAGCTTTTCTGTACAATGGAATGAATCCACTGAGAAAAACTATCAGGAAAACAGTTTCATTCACAATGGCTTCAAAAGTAACAAAATATCTAGGAATCAATCTGACCAAGGATGTGAAAGACCTCTACAATGAAAATTATAGGACACTGAAGAAAGAAATTGAAGAAGACAGTAGAAAGGGAAAAGACCTTCATGTTTATGGATAGACAGAATGAATATTGTTAAAATGGCCACATTACCAAAAGCCATTTACAGGTTCAATGCAATTCTCATCCAAATACCAATTCTTCACAGAACTAAGAAAAATAATCCTAAATTCATATGGAAATCCATATGATAAAATAAAGGATCCAGAATAGCCAAAGCAATCCTGAACAAAAAGAGCAAGTACAGCTTCTAATGATTACAAGTAAAATAGATAGGAAGGACTGAACCAATAATGAGATTTAACATGGCAACAGGGAATTTATGAAGATCCTGATTCATGCAAATAAGAGAGACAAAAGCAGACAGAGACGAGAGAAGGAGGGAGAACAGAGGAAGGAAAAAAGAGAAAGACAGTATGAGAAGAAGGAATATGGAGGCAATGTGAACCATAGCTACTGTTCACAGTAGCCAGGATGTGGAATCAACCTAAACATTCATTGTTAGAGTAATGAATAATGAAAATGTGTTCTGTATACATAATGGAATACTATTCTGCTCTACAAAAGAATGAAATCCTTTCATTTGCTACAATATGGACGGAATGAAATAAGTCAGGCAAACACTATGATCTGACTCCCATGTAGACTCTCAAAAATTAATCTCATGGAGATTTAGAGTTCGCAGAGGCTGGGGAGACAAAAGGGAAGGGGAGCTGTTAAGAGATTGCTCAATGTGTTAGTTAATAGGAAGGAGAAGTTGTGGTATTCTATGGCATGGTAAGGAGAATATAGTTAAAAATAACATTCTGTGTCTCTCAAGATAGTTGAAGAGAAGATTTTTGAATGTACTCACCATAGAGAAATTTGATAAAAGTTTAAGGTGATATATATGCTAATTATCCTGATTTAATCATTGCCCAATGTAAATCCAGATATCAAATTGTAAGTCATAAATATGCACAAATTTTGCCAGGCACAGTGGTGCATGCCTATAATCTCAGCGACTCAGGAGGCTGAGGCAAGAGGATGGCAAGTTTGAGGCTAGCCTGGGCAACTTAACAAAAGCTTGCCTCAAAATAAAAAAGGGCAGAAGATGTAGCTCAGGGAGTTCAATCCTCATAACAAGAAAAAAATTAATAAATATGTACAAATTTTATGTGTCAATCAAAAAATGAAACAAAATTTTTAAATGGTTTCTAAGTTTTACAGGTATAATAATGAAACTCTATGCTTCTTTAAAAGAATTCTTATATTTTAGTGATACATACCAAGGTAGTGGAATGAAATGATATGTGTACTTTGCTTTGTGAGGAAATAATAGGAGAGAATACAGATGCAATAAGAATCATTATTCAAGCCAGGCGTGGTGGAGCACACCTGTAATCCCAGCAGCTCTGGTAGCTGAGGCAGGAGGATCTTGGGTTCAAAGTCAACCTCAGCAACTTTGCAAGGCCCTTAAAAAAGAATGGTTGTTCAAACTGGGAGCTTGATGTATGGGCTTCATTACACCATTCTCTCTTCTTTTATCTATATTTAAAACTTCCATTATGAAAACATTTTCTTGAAAGAAAGCCTAGGCTCATTTTTTTTCACCCTTTAGTTTATTCCCTGCAGAGATTGAGAGTGGACCTATCACCATGACCACTTATGACTTAGCATATCTCCCAGTTTTCAAACCAGTAATTTTGAACCCAATAATTTCCAAAGCTGATTTTGTTGTTGTCATTGTTGTTTTAATTGAAAAGCTGTGTCCCTGCTGTTGGTTCTGGGGAATGCTGACCAATACTGATTTTTTGCTTTTCAGGTTCTGGTATCTCCAGCTATGGGAATAACCCCCAAGACGCTCCCAAAGCCTTTGAGGATTGCATGCTAAAAGTCAAGGGGCAGGTCCCAGAGCACCTCCACGGATCCACCCGCATTTACCTAGGAGCCACGGCTGGGATGCGCTTGCTGAGGTAAAGGCTGAGTGGGGCCAAGGAGCTCCCATGACCAAAATAGCCAAGAATGTGTTGAATCTTGCCAAGAACGCGTATCTCTGTTTCTGGGAACAAACCCAAGAGAAAGAAGCCCATATTCTGCCTTAAATTTAGGCTTTCACGATTGGGAAACATTCAGTCTTTATTTTAAAATGCAGAAAGAAACAAAATTGATTCCCTCTACCTTTGTGATTTTACTGAGAACTCTGGAAAAAGAAAGATGACCGACATCTGCTTTAGAAAACAGAAGTGTTTGACACCGTGAACAGCCACTAAGATGTGTGATAAGTGTTACCTCTAGCTATGTAGCTTCTTCCCGTGCACAAAATGTCCCTGAAACCTGCTTTAAAACCATAGGATGTCTGCCTCTCACATCAGTCAAAGCCCTTTGGACTTGTTATGAAACAAACATCCCATTTCATTTCATAAGTTCATGCTAAATTTGCAGCTATGACTTTTAGCCCCAGAGGCATGGTTTTTGAATGTCTCCTTCTCCTCCCTCCCTCCCTACCCTCCCCCCCTATCTTTGATAGAGTATTTCCTTAACCTTGCAATAAAAAGAAACATCAAACATAAATCCATTCACAACAGAGGCTGCTCCAAGTGTTGGAAGTGAGGCTTGATCTTGATCACCAGTAGACAAGACTCATTCAGCTCCAAAGGCACTTTGTCCATGATCCCAGTCATGGAAAATAATGCATGTTTAGGCATGAAGAAAACAGGAACAGACAGAGGTGCTTTAACATGATCATAAAGAGAAATCACAGTATGCTCACAGTTGGATTGGGTCTTCTCCATGAAGTGCCCCTGTTCTTGCTTGTGGCTTGAAGCATTGGTTTTTCTTCTTCCTGAGCCAAGAGTAAACCAGTGCCCCCGGGTTTTCTTAAACCACTGATGAAGGGGGAAATAATCTCCCAAGTGAGCTTTCTTTTATAGGGTAATTGACAGCAGATAGGTGCAATAATAGTACAATGTCATGGGTGATATAATAATGCCATGTTGCCTCTCCTATGTGGGTCAAAATACTGATGTTTTTTAATCCAGTGACAGCTGTAATGACCCTCAAATCCCCCCAAAATGAAGCCCTCCCAAAGGGTGAAGCAGGCACAGCTGAAAACTCAACCTTATCCGCTTTCCCCCCTGCCTCCTAAGAGATTACTTACACAACCCCCATGCCTTCCCTAGTTTCTCTCTGTCTCTCTCTGTCTCTGTTTCTGTCTCTCTGCCCCCCCTCTCTCTCTCTAGTACTGGGGATTGAACCCAGGGATTCTCAACCACTGAGCTACATCCCCAATTTATTATTATTTTTTTTTTTTTACTTTTACACAAAGTCTCACTAAATTGCCCAGGCTGGCCTCAAAAATTTGAGATCTTCCTGCCTCAGCCTCCCAAATAGCTGGGATTACAGGTGTGACCCACCACGCCTGACTGGATGGCTCTTTTGATTAGCTGATTGCAAGAGAATGAAACAGGATCAGGTGGGGTTGGGGAAAACAGATTGTACTTTTATGGAAAACTCTTTTCCTGCTTGGCAGTTTAAGAGGTCACTGCCTTCTCAGTTACCTTGGCAGGCTTCAACTTGCAAAAGAGATTGCCTGTGTATTGCACACATCTGGAAAAATGCCATCCGGGGGCTGTGGGGGTTTCCCTTATCACCTGAGGGAGACTACTTGACTGTGTCGTCTAGGCACTCAGCCTTTTGTGTTCTGTGCCTCGCATAGGTTGCAAAATGAAACAGCAGCTAATGAAGTCCTTGCAAGCATCCAAAGCTACTTCAAGTCCCAGCCTTTTGATTTTAGGGGTGCTCAAATCATTTCTGGGCAAGAGGAAGGGGTATATGGATGGATTACAGCCAACTATATAATGGGAAATTTCCTGGAGGTGTGTGGAAACAAATGCATGGTTTTTAATCTTGCTGTTTATCTTGTCCCTTGAGGGAGATAGTTTAAGCAGAAATACCCGCCAATGGAGCATTCCTGCCGTGTGTGCACTAGGGAAGCAGTGCTCAAAAAAAGGCATTTACATAGAGCTGGGTGGGAGGGACCATGGATCATAAATAGGACCAAATGCATGGAGGAGGGGGAATATTGTCACTTTGCTAGCTTGTTAGAAATTGGGGAGAGGGATCTAAATTTAATCCTGCTACTGCACATGGACCTTTTGAAGGCTCCACAGCCATCTGGAATTTGCAGCACCCTCAGTCAGTCTGCTTCCCTGAATCCCCAGAGAGAGAGGGAGTCCTCACTCTGTGTTCCCAGGCCTCTTTACAGTCCAGTCCTTACACTTCCTGCTCCTTGGGTGCAAAGGAATGTTATATATGATGCAAAGGATCCAGAATGAGGGCACTCAGATCCTATCCTATCCAAGTCCCATTTTGTCCCCCCTTGAATGTATTTTTAAACTTTTTAGATTGATTGCTGTGGTTAATATTTAGGAAATTTCACATGAAAATCTACACATTGATATCCTCACACATGCCACTGGAGGAAACTGGTCACAGTGGACTCCCCTTCCTGCATGGTAACAACCGGCAGGAACAGAGCGCAGCTTGGGGACTCACTAGCTTGTCACAATCCCCACCAGTCCCCATGCCAAACACCTAATCTGTTTCACTCATTTATGACTCATCTGTGTTATCTGCCAAGCTCCTGGAACCATTTGAATTCACCACCCCTGAAATAAAAGGAGAGAAGTGGTCTGAATGTTCCCTTCTTAGCAAGAGGAGTTGGGTCTTGGGCGGAGATCCCTGGGCAAGAGATGGTGCCTTTGGCCTTTCTTCTCACTTCCTTTTCCCACTGTGCAGAAGAACTTGTGGCACATGTGGGTGCATCCACATGGAGTGGAAACCACAGGTGCTCTGGATTTGGGCGGTGCCTCCACCCAGATATCCTTCGTGGCAGAAGAGAAGATGGGGCTAAACATCAGTGACATCGTGCAGGTGTCCCTGTATGGCTACACATACACGCTGTACACACACAGCTTCCAGTGCTACGGCCGGAATGAAGCTGAGAAGAGGTTTCTGGCGATGCTCCTGCAGGTACCTGAGCTGGGGGATGGCAGGTATTTCCTTTGAGCCCAGGGGAGTGTGCCCTGATTTCTAGTGCCTGCCCTTCTCACTTCAGTTGGAAGGTGATTGGAAATAACAGCATTTTCTAATTGGCTCTTCTGTGTCTAAATTCTCACTGTGTTTTTTGACCACTTTCCAGTGAATTTGAGTAAGAAGTCCAGGGAATATCCAGAGTTCCAGATGCTTTATAAATGATTCAAGACCTGGGATCCCTTTATGAACACAAACTGTTTTAAACCAGTAGCTAAATAAGCCTGAGAATTTTGAGATTCCCCAAGGTGCAGACAAAATAATATTAGTGGTCACAAGAGAAATACTTGCTGGAAAGAGAGGAGGCAGAGCTTATGCAGGCTCAGTCTTCTTTCAGATGGGTCTATAATTAGGCATCTGGATATCCTTTAATAGGTGGGACTGTAGAGCAACCAAATTCCATCATGTTGGTCTTGTTCTTCGTATGGTGAGGCCCAGGGGCACAGAAGGCTACTTGCGATATCAGCTGGAAGGCTGCCACTAATATAAACCCAACATCAGTGCAGTTTGTTTCTTTTGAACTTCAGAATCATATTAAGTAGTAACAAAAATAAATTATTCATTGAGATTATGATGGCAGTTGTTTTGGCAATTATATTTGGTAAAATTATATTTAAAATATATCGGTTTGGGCTGGGGTTGTGGCTCAGTGGTAGAGTGCTTGCCTAGCATTGTGAGGCACTGGGTTCGATCCTCAGCACCACATAAAAATAAAATAAAGGTATTGTGTCCTCCTACAACTAATATATATATATAAATTTAAAAGATATATTTGGTAAAAATTATTAATGATATTAAGAATTTCTATCCAGAATTATTAATATCTTTTCATTTATTTAGTTCTTGGTTTATACCCTTCGATAAGATTTTTCATACATGTATGTGGTATTGGGGATTGAAGCCAGGCATGCTCTACCACTGAGCAATTCCCCAAACCCCCTTTTCTTTTTCTTCTTTTTTTTTATAAGTCTTTTTTATACTGCTGTTTTTATTTATTTATTTATATGTGCTGCTGAGGATTGAACCAGGGCCTCCCACACACTAGGCGAGCACTCTATTGCTGAGCCACAACCCCAGCCCCATCTTTTTTTTTCTTTATTTTATTTTGAGATAGGATCTTGGTATGTTGCTAAGGTTAGCCTCAAACTTGTGATCTTGCCTCAGCCTCCTAATTGCAGTAATCAGCTGGGATTACAGGTGTGTGCCACTGCACCCAGCCTTCAGTAAAACTTATAGTTTTCATCATTTCTGTGCCTTTGTTGTTAAATGTAGTTTGTGTGTTTATTTTTAAATTTTTTTACTTGTAATTAACACATTTTAATTCTACAAATTAATGAGATTCACTGTGATATCTCTATACATGCATTTATTATGCATCCACCTCTTCTAGTATTTATCAGTTTTTTCATATTTTTTATAGTCTCTATTTTTTTTTCCAATTTCAGCTGGATTTACATTAAGAACAAATTATGGTATGGTTTTCTAGTGGAGCTTTTCTCTCAAACCCATTGATTGACCATGGCAGCGTCCTCAAACACTAGGAATGGTGAAGACTATTGATTTTTGAGCGCCTAAATTGTCACATTGGCTGATCGAACTTAATGCCATAACAAATAATTCAAGAACAAAAGATAAATGATAACTAGTATTTACTGAGCTTCTTAGCACCTGACTTTTGCTGATGCTGGCTTTGAACTCACTATCCTGCCTCAGCCTCCCGAGTCACTGGGATTACAGGCGTGCGCTACCATGCCCAGCCCAGTCCTGCCTTGTTTTTTACATAAAACAGATCACAAGCCATATATGCCAAGCCATAAATGATTTATACTATTTCAGTCATTTAAAAACTATAAGTCAGATTCTGAAGTTGATACTAAACACCAAGTTGATTGACATGATTTTTTTCTCTTTCAACAAATATTTCAGCCATAAGTGACCCAGGTGTACTAGAATCCAAATTGGCTACAACAATTTGTGAAAAATCACAGGTTTTTTTTCACACCATTGGAGCAGAAAGGGATCTTATTACCTCCTTTGTAGACATGTGAAGATCTTTCTGGAAAACACTCATGGGAGTGAGATTGGATGAGTGTTGAACTATAGAATTCTATGCAGAATCCTGTTACTGACCTTTGTTAGACAATTGCATTATTTTGTTGTGTACCTCAATTTCCCCATCAGTAAAATGCAAGGTTGGGCTGAATGTTGTAAGTCAGATTTTACTGTAGGAAAAGTACTACACTTTAATGGCTCTGAAATTGAATAGAGCTCAAATTCAATTCCTTATAAAAGGGAGTCCAGAAATAGAACCAAACCCAGTTAGGAATTTGTCATAAGATAAAAGAACACTTTACACCCACAGATAAGTTTGGATAGCCATCTAGAAAAGGTAAAACCAGGTCCTTGACTCAGTGTGTATTTTTTGTTGGTTTGTTTGGTTTTTGTTTTTCTTTTTTTTAATGGGGTTGTTTTTGTTTGTTTGTTTGTTTTAGTACTGAGGATTGAACTCAGGGACACTGGACTACTGAGCCACACCCTCAGCCCTGTTTTGTATTTTAGAGACAGGTCTCACTGAGTTGCTTAGCACCTGGCTTTTGCTGATGCTGGCTTTGAACTCACTATCCTCCTGCCTCAGCCTCCCGAATCACTGGGATTACAGGTGTGTGCTACCCACACCCAGCCCAGTCCTGCCTTGGTTTTTATATAAAACAGATCACAAATGGATCAAAGATTTATGTGGAACAAGGGGATGTGTGTGGGTGTGTGTTGGCAAAATGATTGGAAACCAGTCCCAATCAACTGCTAGAGGGTGTCCCTAGCAGTTACTAAAAAGAGGCCATCTACACATACAGTGAATGGAAAGATCCCAAAGATATATATTTTAAATAAGAAAAGCAAAGAGACGTGTATTCAAGGTGTTATCATTTGTGTTTTTTTTTAAAGGAAAGAAAACAAAATATATTTGCATATGCACATAAGATCTCTGGAAGATTACACACAAAATTGGCCATAGTAGCTGCTTTCAGAGAGGGCTCTAGTGGCTGGAAGCAGGTGGCAGGGAGCCTTCATTCTCATAATATGCTTATTTGTACCTTTTAGATTATTTGACTAGGTAGAGATTCTCTTCAAAAATGAAAAATTAAAGATAACCTGTTTTCACACCAAAATGGAGTTTCCTGCTTCATAGGGCTATCATAAGGGCTGGATCAGATAGAGTGAGAGAGAGCCCAGCATTGTGCCTGGTTCAGGATAACTTCACATGCACCTTTCCCATCCCTTCAGGGCTTTCTTTAAAAGCTGGGATACAGTACACCCAGATACAGAATGGTATTTTTTCCCATTTTCTTTTTTTTTTTTAATTTTTTTATTGTTGGTTGTTCAAAACATTACATAGTTCTTGACATATCATATTTCACACATTGATTCAAGTGGGTTATGAACTCCCATTTTTACCCCATATACAGAGTGCAGAATCACATCAGTTACACATCCATTGATTTACATATTGCCATACTAGTGTCTGTTGTGTTCTGCTGCCTTTCCTATCCTCTAATTTTTTCCCATTTTCTGTCTTGACATTGGAGAGTAGTAATAGTGAGGATTTGCCAAAAGGAATGACTTCGTCCTCCACCTAACACCTCACTCTTCTTGTACCCACAGAATTCTCCCACTGAAACCAATCTCACCAACCCCTGCTACCCTCGGAATTATAGCACCACCTTCACTGTGGACCACGTATTTGACAGCCTGTGCACTGAGAAGCAGAGGCCAACAAGTTACGACCCCAATAGCCTCATCACTTTTGAAGGAACTGGGAACCCATCACTGTGTAGGGAGAAGGTGGCTTCCATATTTGACTTCAAAGCTTGCCATGATCAAGAAGGCTGTTCCTTTGATGGGACTTATCAGCCAAAGGTTCAAGGGCCATTTGTGGTAAGAGCATAACCCCCTGAAAGATCTCTGTCTGTGCCTGTAGAATATGTCTCTCTCCCCTTTCCAATTCTGGTACCCCTTTCTTCTTCTCCGCCCTGAAACCTCCATGTCACATTCCATTCTGGAAATTTCCTCTCTACTTCTTCCAGGCATTTGCAGGATTCTACTACACAGCCAGTGCTTTAAATCTTTCTGGGAGTTTTTCCCTGGACTCCTTTAACTCAAGTACATGGAATTTCTGCTCCCAGGATTGGAGTGAGGTCAGTATTTAAAAGAAAGGAACAGCCAGGTATGATGATGCATACCTATAATTCCAACAGCTTGGGAGGCTGAGGCAGGAGGATCACAAGTTCAAAGCCAGCCTTAGCAACTTAGCCCCTAAGCAACTTAGCAAGACCCTATCCCAAAATTAAAAATAAAAGGGGCTCTAGCTCAGTGGTAAGGCACCCCTGGGTTCAATCCCTGGTACCAAAAGAAAAGAAAAAAAAAAGAAGGAACAATGTCAGTACAAGAACTATAGCAACAGAGCATATTCCCTTTGCGTGTATATGTGTGTTTATCCTGAATTTAGCCTTTGTGCTCTTCTAAGTCCACATCTATAAAATCTGGGTAATGAGGGAACCTACTTCACAACTATGTCATGGATTAATTTTTTAACCACATGCATAATGATTAGGACAGTGTTCAGCACATAATAAGCACTCAGGGGACTTAGAGATTATTATTATGTGACCTTGTGTAGGCTTTGTTTAATCACTATATTATATAATCCCATCATTATTTAATATAGCCATTTTTATTACAGAATTCTGGGTGATAATGTTTTTTAAAATATGACTGTTAACCTTAGGTGTTCTAAATGTGCATTGTAAAGTAGACCTGCCCACTCCTCCTCTCAGATGTCTTAAACCTCCTTTTCAGCTCCCATTCCTGCTCCCCAAATTTGATGAGGTGTATGCCCGCTCCTACTGCTTCTCAGCCCACTACATCTACCACTTGCTTATAAATGGATACAAATTCACAGAGGAGACTTGGCCCCGAATACGTTTTGAAAAAGAAGTAAGTCAAGACATAAAATTGTTTTCTCTTCTTCCTCCCCAAAGAGAGGTTTGTAGCGTTTGTGGAAGAAATGTAGATAGTAAAAGGATATTAGAGATTTAAATTTGCTGAGTACAAGCTGATCAGATTGATCACTCCTTCCTGGGAGAAGACATAATGGAGACCAGAGTTGCTTACAGGAGACTGTTCCAGTTGAGGAAAGGACTGGAAGGCAAGGGCTAAGGTCTCACTATCTTTATATACCCGGCCTTCAGTGCCAGGGCTAGATCCTGGTAGCTGCTTGGGAAATATTTGTTGAGTGACAACTAAATATGTTAAAGATCTGAGTCTTTCCATCCTGAAAAGAAGTTCTAAATATAACTTGATTTTCAAGAGGATAATAACTAATTGTTCTTCATTTTACACAGATGTCAAATTAAGATCCAGGCTTCAGAGTATGCGGGATTTACACTAGCACATTAGCATGAAGTAAGAAGTTTCTCTTTAAATGAGTCTAAGGTATTTAACTACCAAAAACTTTAGGGATGGAGAAGATTTTGGCTTGGTGTTATTCATAGACGGACAGATAGACAGACAGGAATGAGTATCAAGTGAGCAAAATGTTTAAAAACTGTACTGGCAGCTGTCACGACCACACCTTATTCTCAGGCAGGACTCAGCCTTGGGATACATTTAGCCATCATTCCCCAATTCTGAAGGACTTTCTCATTTCAGGAATGGCTGATGTGAAGCCATAGTCAGTCTGTTCAATATCAGCTTTGGCAATAATTAGATTAAACTAATCAATATCCTGCATTAGGCCTGTGACTGTCTATTTTCACATAAGTAAAATTGAGTCATCTACAAAAAATACAGGGATGTCTGGAATCAAGTACTGTTTGTGGCATGTACTCTTTAAGCTTTGCTTCCAAACAAATCTAATTACCAACAGGAAAGTACATTAAAAGAATGGAGAATGGCTTTCTATTGAATATTAATTTGAATTGAGAAAACATGCTAGGTTTAAAATTCTTTCTCCTTAAGAATTGTTTGTGCTCCCAAGCTAGTGTTTAAACATGAGGGTATAAAAAGACTTTGGAAGATTTGCCACGCAAGGACTTAAATTAAAAATATTTTTTGGAAACAGCAACTAACTAAGAAGAGAAATAAACCCAGGAGATGTTACAAAAAATACTGAAAGTAAAAACAAATGACATTTAAAAAATAAAACTAACACTGAAGTAAAAGAGAAAAGCCCATCCGTATAACCCAAGTATAGAAAATCTCTAACCTGATAGAGGAATGGTAACAGGTGACAGTAAACAGGGACATAAGAATAGCCTAAAATTCTTGTTGTGTCAAGGAAACATACAGATATTATTTTTAAGGCAAGAAAAGAGGGAAAAAATAATATGGGAAAATAGCATTAGTAGGAATCACTAACGTAAGATATTGTAAAGAAGTCCAAATAATATCAATATATCATCAGTGGTCTAAACCCACCAATTGAAAGACAGACATTGTCAGGTTAGATTTTTAAAAATCAGTAGATGATTTATAAGAGAAACGGTTATACTTTAAGCATAAGCACATGGAAGAATTTAGAGTTTAAATTTTGTTTTCAATCATCCAGCAAATGCTACCCAAAAGAAAGTTGATATTGTTATTCAATATATGACAAAATGCTCTTTAAAACAAAGAGCATCATTTCAGATGGGGTTACCCCCAATGAAAAAATAACTCCATTCACTTTGAATGGTGCAAATTCACAACATGTATGTGCCTAATAAAACAGTTTAAAAATATGTAAAGCAAAACTAGATGGAATTACCAGAAGAAGTTGACAAAGTTTGCTTCCCATTTGGACTCATCTCCTGTGCTTAGAACCTCCCTGGGTTCAGCAAATTGCTCATTGTCTTCTTGCTTTAGTCACAAACACCCCTGGGCAATAGGAATGCTTTCACTATTATTAACTGTCCCTTTTTTAGGCTATTAGAATTCATTCTTCCCACTGGTTTCTCTGCAGTGCTGAAGGTGGGACTCCCAATTCTTTGTAGTACTGTGTGGTGTCTGAACCTGGGTGAGCCCTTTGACCTCCTCAGGCCACATTTCCCTGTGCAGGCCTTGCAGGGTATACAGTGGCGCGCCCTGGTATAGGATCCCAGCCTTATGCCTTCCCAGAGAACTGAGTCATCTCTTCTACTCCACAGGTCGGGAACAGCAGCATCGGCTGGTCCCTAGGTTACATGCTCAGCCTGACCAACCAGATCCCAGCAGGGAGCCCCCTGATCCGCCTGCCTATACAGCCGACTGTCTTTGTGGGCATTCTTGCCTTCTTCACAGCCACAGCCCTGCTGTGCCTCGCATTTCTTTTGTACCTATGTTCAATGTCCAGGACAAAGAGGCGCTCTGAGCGTGTCTTTGACCATGCAGTGGATTCTGAGTGAGCCTTCAGAGCAGTTCCTGGAGCCCCAGGGTTCCCTAGAACCAGCCTGGGGAGCACCATGCAGTGCAAGTGAAGTGGCCACCTTCAGGAAATACTACTAAAGTCAAACACCTAGGTCACGTGCTGCTTGGATACCGACTTCTGCCAAAATGCCTCTTGGGGAATCCCTCAACAATTCTGTGCACATTGATCCTCCAGGCACCCTTCTATCCATTTGTTGATCTATTGGGAAACAGGAGAGAGAGGCCATCCCCCAGAGGAAGAGGAATTTGAGAATATAACAGTTTTATATAGAGGAATTGACCTCAGGGCTCAGTTTCCATTTTCCCCTCCTTCAGTGTTCCTTGTGGCAAGACACCCGTTAAGCATTTAATCCAGTCATATATCTTACCTTGTGACTTTCTCCCATTGGCCCTTAACCAAGACTTTCTTTTAGCAACCTCATAAGCATCGAAATCCTTCATATTGGTAGAATATAGTATCTGGGAGAGAAGACTCCCCAAAAAAGTGGCCATAGCCAGGCTTCTGTCGTGCAGGTAGAGCACAGAGCACAGAAGATACACAGAAGTGTCCCAAAACACTGCAGCCATTCCCAAAATGGAGCTCCCAGTCGGGGCTCTGGTTCCTAGGTTGCAACCTGTGTGAGTATCCTCCTGCACATCTCACCGTCATTGCTCTGCCCTCTTCTAGAACTCATTTACTCCTAGTGAGGGTATTGCATTCCAGAACTTATTGCCTTCACTAGGCTTTTGCTTCAGCCTGCCTTTCCATTATTAGCACGTTCTCTGTATTTTGCCCACCATTCCCATAGGCATCTTTGATAACCACGGCAGGCATTCTGTTCTATGATTTGCTCCTCAGTTCTTTCCTAGGTCTTAGGCCTCTCTACCAAGTAGCCATAAGACTCAACTTGGGGAAAGAAACAAAAGCTGCAGGAATATTTGCCTCCAACGTGAGATAAGAAGAACTTCAGCAAGTATAGTAGCTACAAACTAAAAGTCAACACTATTTCAGATTGTCATTTGTTAGATGAAAAATGGAATAAAGAACTCTTATTTTGACTTTCAATGTGTGCATTTGTTAACTTGAGTATGATACTCTTTCTTCTAAGGACTCAGGTAGTATTTATGAGAATTTTTTAAAATTAAGAAATGGAGGGGCTGGGGATGTGGCTCAAGCGGTAGTGCGCTCGCCTGGAATGCGTGTGGCCCGGGTTCGATCCTCAGCACCACATACCAACAAAGATGTTGTGTCTGTCGAGAACTAACTAACTAAATAAATAAATATTAAAAAAAAAAAAAAAAGAAAAGAAATGGAGGGAATTTTTTTAAAAAATCATGTGTTAATATCACCCTTATTCCACAGAGTTCAAAGTGCTTTCACTATGATGAAACTCTGACTCCAGTTGAGTCATACATTTCCGTACGTTAATTTGACATTCACAACTTGCCACAAGGATGGCCTCCCAAACCACCTTTGCTCCCATGTCCTTCCCTACATAGACTGTGGGTCATCCGTCCACACACTCAAATAATGCATATTTCCCAATGTCCAGTTCCAGTCCTGTCTTCCATAAAACTTTCCTTGCACACACACATGTGCATGTACAAACACACACACACACACATATATGCATACACACAATGATATATATCCTGGACCGCTTTCTCAAAGCTAGCAACAGAAATTATTATTTATCTTTTTGTGTGTATACATATGGATTTTTTCCAAAATAGACAATAGGATACTAAGGACAAAGCTTCTCATCCGTCACTCACTCATTTATTCAACACACATCTACAAAACACTTACGATGGGCCTAACACTTTGCCAAGTATGGGTTTGGATGTGGATAAGTGCTATGAATGTAGAATTTACTCTTATTTGTTGATTGGAGTGGTTTCCATAAATGACTGAGGGATGGGAAATAAAATATAGAGATATCAAATGAACATAGCATCCAAATCACCAAGAGTTACCAAGAAAAAGAAAAACATGTGTTTGCAAGACAGAGAGTCAAGACTGAAGCATGAAGGTCAGTTCTAACCAATATTTTTAATCTATTTGGGAACTTGGAATAAGCTAATGAAGTATTTCTGGCTTCTTGACACATTGGTGAATTCTTATCAGATGCACCATGGTCATATATACAGTCTGAGTAAGATATTAGTTACCATGGTGAGCAGAATTCTAAAATAGTCTCCCAGCACCTTTGCCCTCTCTAGCACCTCATACGTAAATGTGCTTCTCCTGTGATTACATGATTAGGTGGTTACATGGCAAAAGGGCTTTGCAAATGTGATTATAATCAGTTGATCTTAAAATGGAAAGTTGATCCACGTAGGCCTCATTTTATCACATGAGCTCTTCAAAGGCAGGGGATTGTCTTCAAAAGAAGTCAGATTCAAAAGCATAAGAGGGATTCCACATGTTGTTGCCTGCTTGAGGCTGGAGGGGACCATATGAAAGGCTTGAGCACAACCTCTAGAAACCATGGGCAATCCCTGCCTGACAACCAGCGAGAATACAGGAACTGCTGTCCCACAGCTGTAAGAAACACAATTCTGCCAACAACCTGGATAAAGCCAAGTCCAATCCAAGTGATATCTTGATCTCAAACTTGCATGCTTTTAGCAGACAGCCCAGTTGAGCTCACCCCGACTTCTAACCTATTGAACTGAACACTAAAAAGTGGATATTGTTTTAAGTTACTGAGGTTGTGACAATTAATTATCTAGTCACGGAAAATGAACACGACTATGGAACCCCAAGCCCCAAGGCTCCAACCAGAGCAAGTGCTTACATCTGAAATATGTGGTGAAGATAAAGGCAATGAGGTACCACAAATTGTGTCTACTTACAATAGACACATAAGAAAGGCCTGGGCTTAGCTAATAAGTGTCTTTGGAGCTGGGGACTCTGAGGTCAGCTTCTGGTCCAGTGAATCTAAAACCCATCACATCACATTTCCTTTCTCTTATGGCAGCTAGGAATTTAGTTTTAGATTTTGTCGTTCAATATGTCATTTCACATGTGACAGAGGTGTGGCATGTGGCAGGTGTCATGTCAGAGGGGTGTGAAAATATGTGGAACAATTGAATATCTATATGGAGGAAATTCAACTCCCTTCCTCACTTCATTTTCAAAAATTATTCCCAGGCAGGTTAAAGACCTTAGCATGAAAGACAAACCTGTAAAGTTTTTCAAAAAGAAGGTAGGAGAGAGCTGGGAATATAGCTCAGTTGGTAGACTGCGTGCCTCATATGCATAAGGCCCTGGGTGCAATCCCCAGCACCACCAAAAAAAAAAAAAAAAAGAGAAAGGTTTTGAGGCTTCTTAAACACTACTCAATGAGCAGTAGTCAAGAGAGAACACCTGTTACACTGGATCACATTCAAATTAAAACTCTGTTTGTCCAGCAATACCATGAAAAGAGTAAAAATACAAGCCACAGGGTGGAAGAAGGCATTTGCAACGTATACTACTGATAAAGGACTGGTTTCCAAATTACATGAAGGACTCCCACATATCAGTGGGTAAAAAGGCCCACAATCAGATGGGTCTCAATGGTCAAAAGGCTTGAAAAGATAGTTTGCAAAGGAGAAATCAAAGTGTCAAGAAAATGTGTGAAGAGGTGGTCAATCTCATTAATAGATTGGATGATACAAATTAAAACTACAATGAGATAACACAACATACATTTTAGTTTTGCAAAAATTAAAAAGTCAGGGGCTAGGTTGTAACTCAGAGGTAGAGTATGTGCTTAGCATGTAGAAGACCCTGAGTTAAATCCCCAGGACTTGGAGAAAAAATTTAAAAAGAGGTTTGACAATATCAGGATGTAGATAACTGGAACTCTCCTACACTGCTGGTAGGAATGTAAATTAATACAATCTGGAAAACTATGGTATTATTTAATAAGGTAGAAGATAAACATACCAAACAACCAGAAATTCCAGCCTAAGGCATATGCCTCAGAGACATGCCAGTATACACACCTGTAAATCATTTTGAGCAGCAACTGAGGTGCCTATCCCATAATATGAATGAATAAACAGTGATGTATCTATACAGCAAAAATATCATATGCTGATGAAATGGAAAAAACTGCAAATTCATGCTTAATATGGATGGAACTTACAAGCATAATGTTGAGAGTAAAAATCAAGTTGCAAAAAAATATGTCCTTTAATTCCATTTACATCATGTTCAAAACAGGCAAAACTAAACATGCACGGAAGGTAAACTGTAGAGAAAAGCAAGGAGATTATTACTCTTAAATTTGGGGGAAGATGAGTTTGTTTGGAAAGGGATAAATGGGTGTCTTAGTTTGCTTAGATTGCCATAATAAAATATCATCATTTCGTGAATTAAGATAAATTAGTTTTCTTACAATTCTGGAGGCTAAGAAGTCCAAGATCAAGTCCAACATCAAGACTGGAAGTCCAGTCAATTAAATTCTCTGCCAAAGTTCTCTTCCTTTCAAGGCCTTTCTTCTGAACTCTGGGGTGGGAAGGAGCTCTCTGATCTCTTACATGAGCATTAATCCCATCACAGGGCTCCACCCTCATGACCTCACCTACCTGTAGTTATCTCCTGAAGGTCTTACCTCCAAATACCATCACAATGCAGGTTAGGGCTTCAACATCTGAATTTGAAGGACATATTCAGTCCATAATGATAGGGCTTCTGGGGTGACAGTGTGATTCTATAGCTAGGTAGGCGTTACAGGTGTTCCTTTTTTGAATCATTTATGCACTTTCCGAATGGGCTGTATGACCCTATAAAAATAAAGTTACAGATCTAGCTAATGTTTTTCAATCTCTTTGAGCCTTGATTTCCTTATAGATGAAAAGGGAACTTACAAGCAAAACTAAACATACCTACCTCCTGGGATAGTTGGAAAGATAAAATATGGCATTTAGCCACTGCCTGGCACAGAGAGTAGCCAATAGATACAAGTTTAGAAAAGTATTTCTTTCAACCATATATTCATTTATTTGTTTGCTTATCATACATTCACCAAAAGTCTACTATGTGTCAGTGAGCTACAGGACTGAGGTTGTAACAGAAATGAGACATATGTCCTCTTAAAACACATGAGATTTGAAGGCCCTCTGCTGGAGCCCTGCAGAAAATCTTTCCATGAGTGAGTTTCCACCAACACCCGTCTAATTTAAAATGCTGGAAAAAAAAAAAATCACTAGTTCAAAATATTTGTAATATTAAAAAATAACCAGATAGTTGAAAATTTGATCAGTTAATGTTATTAAGGAATAACTGTTAATCTTTATTGAGGTGAGACACTGGTTTTATGAACTACCCCCTAGAATCCTTACTGTTGAGAATCTTGTCGAATGTTTTTCGACTGAAATGATATTCTTTTTTTTTTTTTAATTTTATTTTGTAGTTGTAGATGGACAGTATACCTTTATTTTATTTGTTTGTTTTTTTGTATTCTGTGCTAAGGATTGAACCCAGTGCCTCACATGTGCTAGGCAATCACTCTGCCACTGAGCCACAACCCCAGCCTCTGAAATGATATTTCTGGTGTATCCTGTCAAGATTCCACCAGAACAATAGAATCAGTAGGAGATACATATTAAGAGATTTATTGCAAGGGATTGGCTTACACAATTGTGGGGCTGGCTGGGCAAGTCTGCACGACAGGCCATCAGGAAAGGCAGCAGGAACCCTTCAGCGTGAGCTGAAGCTGCTGGCCACGGCAGAATTTACTTTTTTTCTCAGGCTTTAAGATCTTTTCACTGATTGAATCAGGATGACCCAGATCATTCGGATAATTCCCTTTACTGAAAATCAACTTATTCGGGGTGTAGTTGTACATACCTGTAATCACAGCTACTTAGGAGGCTGAGAGAGGAGGATCACAAGTTTGCGGTCAGCCTGGGCAAGTGTCTCAAAGTAAAAAGATTAAAAGGGCTGAGGATGTCACTCAGTGGTACAGTGCCTGTGGGTTCATTCCCCAGTCCTGCAAAACAGACAAACAACTGATTATTTGACAACTAAGTGCATCACAAACACACCCAAAATATACCTTCACAACTACT